TGTTGTGACTGTCAGAGACTCACTGTGAATGTCGTTTGCCTCAGCCTCTGAAGTCCAACCCCTCCCACCTGAAACACCTGGACCTGAGAGGAAACAACCTGCAGGATCCAGATGTGAAGCAGCTGTGTGATCTTAAGAAGAGTCCAGCTGTCGACTGGACACTCTGACGGTCAGTAAAAGGGGCGGAGAGTCAGTCCTTGCATGCTTCCATCAGTATTGTACTAAACACAGTGTCAGAGCAAAGAGCCAGTGTTTCCTGTAAACCTCCGACCTTCTCAGTAGCTGCCTTCCCTCAGTGAACTGTGAGAGGAGAACGGTGACAGGCTCAGGATTGACAGAAAGACAGAGAGAGAGAACAGTCGGCCAATCAGAAGCAGCCAAAAGCTCCGTTGTGATCATGTGTCTGAGTGTATGTGAAGACGACTGTTGTTGTTGGGTTGATGTCTACAGGAAGTGAAGCTGAAACAGCTGACAGCCCTCACAGAGGAAACATGAGGACAGTGGTCCTCGATTCGACCCGAAACTGTCAACATCTGAGTCTGAGACAGGTTTGTTCTTCCATTTCACAACTCAAGACCTGATCAGTTTGAATCTCTGTGCACAGGCTGCTGTGATCAGTGTCCTGCAATGCTCTGCAGTCACTGGCTCTTATTCCACAGAGTATGGCATCATACCACTCTGCTAACCCATTTGTAGACGTTCTTGACTACAGACCAGAAGCTCTGCTGAAGTCCAGGTGAGCACAACTGTGTAATATCTGTCCCTTATGCCATAGGATGTTCTTCCAGTGACAGCTCCATTTATTCTGTCAGGTGATATGGTGAAGGAAACAGATTCACATATCGTTCATCCAACACACACGAGCTTCTGTGTTTAAGATGTCTAGGAACTAGTGAATTGGCAATCACTGACCTGTTGAGAGCACACGATGCATAACTTCATGGACTCTTCAGCAGTTTGTTTCGCAACTGTGGACTTGATGGGATAATTGTGCAAGAGGTGAACTAGACTTGATGCTAAAAGTCTACTGCAGGTCTGGAGCCTCCAGCTCTAGGTGTTCCTACTCCAACAC